GAATCTCACGCAGCCATTGTCTCATGGACTGCGAAATCGCCATGGAGGTTGACATGGCGATTTCGTCGGCTGGAGCCTGGTGGGTATGTGGCCTGGCGGTCGACATGTTCGACTTGGTATTTGGCTGATCCTCAAAAGTGACCTCCAAATTCTAGAACTAGAAATGATACCTATCTATTTGCAGGGCCTTCTATTTTCCGGGCTCGCTGCTTTCCATCTACTGTATTTGCTTGCCTGCCTGTTGTTTAGTTTGGGGTTGGGCTGCTTTGTTTCAATCTACAGCCAAAGAAACATCAACCTGGCAAGAACACCATAGAATGTCAAGTTTCGTTGTGATTCCAACCGAGCTTCTCCCTCCTTTTGACGGCAGTGGGCAATGAGCTTGGAAAATCGATTGCCCCTGAAATCCAGAGCGGCTGCGGACGCGATGTCCTCACCGACACGGATGTGTCGACCCACTGATGGACATCGGCTGGTGTGGACCTTCGTGCCGATCCGACCCCAGACACATGCCGAAGACATGGTCGCGCAATCGCCGCTTCTCCCCAGTGCAGACGGATGCAGTGCGCTAGCACCTGCTGAGCAGCGTTTTCCCTTCGCAGAATGAAATCTTCAGCTCTTGGACCTGGGTCAGCAGGGCCCGATGCTAGCAGGCTGCTTCGTGGAAAAATCAAAAAAACAAACAGCTGGCTCCCTCCCTGAACTTCTGGAGGGTTTGATAGATGACTTTATCTTATTTATATATATACACATAAGTTCAACCTTTTGGATTGAAAGACTGTGTATACAAAGATTAGTATCCTGAAGCCTTTTCGTGTATTTGAGCAGCCATACTTCAAGGCCAATTCATTGTTTTGCGTGGCCTGGGGTGAACACAACAAGACAGAAAAAACAATACACACCATTCACTAGTCCAAGGTGTTCTGAAAATGGACTACTGTAGTCCAGGACCCTGATATTCTGATATGATGCTTTAGAATCATTTACAGTAGATGGTTCTTGGGTGAATTCCTCGCGTCGCCCAGTCGAGTTCTCCCACCAGTGGAGTTCTCATTCTCTAATGTTTCCATGGGCTGTGGGCTTTCGCCATCCAAACAGAAATAAGAACTCCTCATGATCCATAGACTGTAGACCCCAAGAAGCAAGACTGCCTAATGTCATCAACAATCGCCTTCCATGTATAAACTTATGCTGAGTGGTGGATCGAACAATCCCAACGAGCAACTTCTCCCGCCAGGGCCCCGACCAACCCAGGAGAGGAAGCATGGCTGGCATGCGCTGCATCGCAGGATCTCATGCAAACACCTGGCAGCCAAAGATGAACTCTGGAGAGCCCAAGCCCGAGCCCAAGCGTGGCTGAGGTTGTCATGTTTGTTGGACCAGCACCCTACAGACGTTCATGAATAGAGACGACTGGTTCACCAGCACCTGTTGCACCGTTCCAAAGGCCAAGCTTTCATCGCAACCGTCCCGAGCACCGGTCCTGGTCGGGCCCTGAGCAAAGGTCAACAAGAACGTCCACACACGTGGCTCACTGCGAATCCAACGGTACCACCCTGAATCCCCATGATTCCATACCCGATGTTCTCGCGATTCCGAACACCCGCGAACACCCGCGAACACCCTCCGTCCCCGCGGTCTCCAAACCCCGCGGTCCGCCGGTCCGCGCAATCTGCGGCCATCGGGCTGGGTCCCTTTTTGGTTTCACCCAATTCGCATCGGTCTTGGGGGTCTCGGACATGAGTGATATATCCGTCAGTGAGGTATTCACATCACCGGCCATTGTGCCATCGTGTGTGCTTCGTCCGAAAGAGACCCACAAAGAAAGAAAGACCCTTTCGACCCTTCCATGACAGCGAGTGAGTGAGTCTTCGGTGTCTTCGGGACTAGGTCACCGTTCATGAAATGGGTGCCTCATTGGACTCTTTCGGACGATGAGGTGAGTCGCAACTCAGCCATGAGACGAGAGTCACAAGGCATCCTAGCCGTCCCTTACGCGATGAAAGGAGCGGACACCGCTGCGAGCATTGCCGCAACGGAGACGCCAGCTGCTACACTCATACCGACCATCGAGGATTGAAACTCCGTGGTAGTGGCTGGACAGCAATCCTTGGTCTTTCGGGGCGGCTGCAGCCACGAAAATGGGAAGCACGGGGGTGCATGTTTCATCTATACAAAACAAATATTGTAGCCAGCATGAACATGGACTTGTTTTTTTCGTGAAACTAATCAGCAACTCCTATAGGAGGAGTGTCTTCATGCGCAGGAATTCGCCAGAAGGACGTGCATGAAAAATGAACTATGAAACACAACCTTGTTTTTTAACCAGTGACCTAGATTCCATTTGGCCAATCGAGCAAAACGTTTCATTGTTCACGGTCATGAAGACGGCGACGTTGCTTCCGATCTCGCTGGCGTTGTAGGTTTGACCTCGACCCGTGTCGTTTCTGCGCGGATCCGTGTCGTGCAACTGCGCGGATCCCAAGCAAACACGGCGGTTTGGTCACACACACGAGTCGTCTTTACACGTTCTGCGTTTCCGGGGTCGTGGACACGTCAGAGAGAAGAAGGCTTGGAAAAGGGTTCAGAACATAGATGGCCTTTTACTATAGTTGGCTGATTGATAGAGAGGATAACCTCCAAGTGTACAACCAATAGGCAATCCTACCTGGCACCGACCCCCCTCTTCCCAAAAAAGGACATCCTCCAGAACACCACGGGGGACGTCACGTCACCTTTCGCCTGATTCTTTCACCCCACCCCTGCGGTTTGACCCTGCGGTCCCTGAAGGAAGATTCAGTATGGATCACATGTGGAGTTCTCATTTTTGGACGATTAAGAGTGTGGGGATGTCAGGCCACCACGATTTGTCGCCGGTGGCGGTGGGGCCAAACGAATGGGCCCCTTAGCAGAATTCAAATCCTGCTCCTTTATTATAGCTGAGCTACTGCACAGCTCGGTGCACGCGGTAGCATTCTCAACGCAGCTGTGGCCGCCGACCAGGAAGAGCGCAAGGAGGGTCAAGCGAAGCATGGTGACCGAGCGAGGAGAGATCTGGGAGCTGTCGGGCCGGTGTGTCGTGAAAGCTGAAAACTGGCTGCGGAAAGTTCACAAATGGGTGTGGTTGGCCATCGCTAGTCGGTTGGAGGCCATCCTCTTTCCAGAAGGAAGCTCGACCAGTCTACCCATTATATAGGTTGGTGGGGGGTCGCCTATTAAAATTTTTAAATTACACACCTAAAATCATCCAAATAAGTTCACAAGCACATTGACAAGCAAGAGGGTGAAGAAAAGAGCCGACGCAGCAGAGTCAGAGTCCACAGCCCTGAGGCAAACCATCTGGCGACCAAAAGCACAGTATGGCCAAGTGCCCGGAAAGTCCTAACACATGGCAGTATGTCCTGTACTCAAACGATCTCAAACACATCTGATTCGAAGGGGTTGTGACCCATCTTCACCGGTTGTGGCTGCTTTTGGCTTTTGACCCCCCGATGTTGCATCAACAGCAGTGGACGCACACCAAAAAAGAGTCGACTGGTCCCACCTGCACTTTTCAGGAAGATCACGTCTCCGGTGAGAAATGTCAGGAAGATCACAGCCCTCTTGTTGCAGGATCCGAAGAAGCCCAGGCTTCCCCAGAACAGGATGGGACCTCCGTGCCGTGACCTCCGTGCGGAGGCAAAGACTGTATATCTGTGGAGTGTCGAACCTTCTGTCCTGCTTTTGTAGAGAAAACGATCACCAACATCACCAACATCACGTCCTGGCTGCCAGGGTTTGGACCAGCATCCTGGTCACGTCACGTGGTTTTGGGAAGTTTCGGGGACCGAACCTCATCGAAAGCCTTCCCGTTCAGCCCTTCGCGCCCTTTCAGCGGTGGCTCGCGGCCTGTAGCGGTGGCGCCGACGGGCGCCGAGCGGCGCGTTTGAGCTGGAACGAGGGCGGAGATCCAACTGGACGATCCGCACGGGTGCTGCGACCTTCATCGGATTGAGCTCTGTGTGTCTGTGTGTGTTCTGCGACTTATAAAGTACTGGTCTGATGTGTGGTTCCGCATGCAATGGGGACAAAATGGGGACCGTTCAGAGTCTCCTTGTGCTGGAGCAAATCGGTCTCTCGGGTCTCTGCAGAAGCTGGTCCATGTGCATGCTTCAAAGGAAGCTGGTCCATATCCCCTAGGCTTCCAACAACCAATAGGCTTTACCGAATCAACTAAGGATTTACACTACAAAAACCAGGTCAACCATCTTTTAAATGGTCTTGGAAGCCTAGGCTATCAGTGTGTATGTTAAATCCCGGAAGACACCCAAGACGCCCTGGCGTCTCCCTAGACGCCAAGACTGGGAGGTTGGGAGTCATGAGGTCTCCCTATCTTCATACACCCAGACCCAGCCCGAGGTTCATGCCCCTAGTGAATCCACAAACATGTGCCCTCTTGAACCTCTTGACGAGTTGATTGATGCAAATCCCAAATCCATGTCGTTTGAGATCGAATCTTCGGAGCCTTCAGATGCCACTCGTCTCTTTCTCCGATCAGATCAACACACCGACCGGTCTGAAGGTGAGAATTAGCCGTTGTTTCAGCTGATCTGCAGGTGGGAGAAACGACGATCGCACCTGTTCTTTCTGACCAGTTTCTTACCATGCAGATTCACGTCAAAGGATACTCGTGCGAATACTCTTGAAATCACTTCAGCAGGCATTCAAGAAGCTTGGAAGAACAACGAAATTTTGGTTTATCAGGGCAGAACAGTGAAGCATACGCAACACGTGCCGGTTAACTATATAGGATATATCTACCGCATCTAACCATGATCTGTCGACTGCCTTGGCCAAGAACAGGAGTCGGCCGGTCCCACGGAGGTTTTAACGACGCTCCCCAGCTCAGCGGACCACTGCTGAATTGGGAAACTGGGGGTGAACCTAGGGATACGGCGTTCCTTCTCTTGCCGAACTGGTCACCAAATACTAAAAAGTCGTTGCGTTCCGTTCCTTCAAAGAAGCTGAGCTGGGGCATCTAAGCAGTTGCTGTCCACCTGTGGCTGGCCACATCACAAAGCACACCTAGGACTGCCTGGCTGAGGTCTTCAAGCTGCAGTCACCCAACAGAGAGCGGTCACCCGAACGAGGCCCGAGAGTCATTTTGGCTGGCCGAAAGCGAAAACCCTGACGCCCGCTGGGTAGCATGATGGCTAGCTATGGTGCTACACAGAACTAATGAGTGTGTCATTATGAAAGTGTTTAAGCGCTGTTGCTTACAGGGTAAGCAAAAGGATTCTTACAGTTACTGCAGAAAATAACAGCATTCCCATATTTATCCTGTAGACCTCTTGACAGGCTAAGAGCTGTTTGTAACAAATCAAGACTGCTGGTTTTGGTGGAGGACTGACCAACAAAATTGATCAAACAAATGAAAGCCACAGTTCACACCGAAAAGGTGTTCGACGACCTCCATAATTGTCAAGTATAGCCTCTACCTCCCCGTGTGTGGATTCCAACCCTGCCGACAAAGGCCTTCAGGGAATACCAAAGTCCTTCTATTGTACCAGAGCTACCAAGAGGTACCAGGTTCCCATATCCTGCCATACCTTCCTGCCATACCCATACGTATGTTCCCTTGAGCCAAAGCTGAGTTCCGCGTGTCGGTTCTATCTCTCGAACCGACGCGCGGAACTCCACAACCATGTCAGCTTGGCGGACGAGCACCAGATCCCAGATTCAACAGCATCTGTTGCCCATTGGGCAGGTACCTGACGACCAGAAGCGACGATCGTTGACGCCGTCCCCACCGGTCACCGAAGCATCGAAGCCTTCGCGGGCGCCAGCGGGGCGGCTTCCAGCCCAGCTCTCGACTCACCGGACGTCACCCACCGGAAGATCCTCCAAAACGCCTTCGTTTCGCCACGGAGTCGGTCTCTTCGGCCCTCGTCTCGCTGGTTCGAGTCCGTTCGCGTCCGTTCGCAGCTCCTGCACGTCGCGCCGAGCAGGACGACGTGACGGCTCCTTCGGGTGGGTCACATGACGTTGGGCGACTTCGCCAAGTTTTCCGCGATGTCCTTCGCCGTGTCGATGCGCCGCACCTGAAAACCCCAGGGACAGGGACACACGAGGTTCACCACGAAAACCACCCCACCCAACTCCAGCTGGGTCGGGCGCAGCTGGGGGGGGACCGTTGGGGCCGGACGGGCGGTTCAGCGGTCGGCGCGGTGTCTGCACGCTCCACCTCGATGAGCCCGGAGCCGTGCTCCTTGAGCGCCTGGCAAAACGGCCGAGGTCGGTAGGTCGGTTTGCTGAGTGGGAAACGGGGGGCTTGTTGGAACAAAGCAGCTATCGGCACATTGAGGTGTGGCTACCAACCTGGCAAGTGATCCAGTCACAACATGCCTTCATATCGCATGCTGCCTTCTTTTTGGAGTTTGCTGTCATGTAGAGTTGGCCACCGCACCTTTTGCAATCCAGTGTGGCTGCCCGCCCTAGACCACACACCAAGCCGACCTAGCCTTAGACCACAACCCAAAAAAGTATATTAAAAACTTCCCAAATCTGCCAGCCCTTCTGAACTTTTCGGCCCCACAATTTCGCCCTGCGCAATTGAGCAGCCAGCACACCCCACGCGCACACCCACCCCCCCCGCGACTGAAAAAGCACGCCCCCAACCGCAACTGCAAAAGCACACCAACCGCACCGGGACACCGGCCGTGCGCGGGCTCCCCTCGGGGCCTCCGAGATCATCTTGGCGGCTTCGGCCTCGCCCTCGGAGCGGATGACCTGACGTCCGGCGGGGTGATCCCCACGTTCTCCAGGCGGTTCCGCACCAGCAAGGGAGAAGGTTTTTTAGTTGGACAGGCGTGGGAACAGCGGGGGGGGGCGGGTAGAAGTGAAAAGCTTGAAGGGTTTGGAAGATGAACGTGACTCACTGGGGGTCGGTGCAAGAATTCTGTGACCAGCTCTAAGTCTGCTCACGGTCGACCTGAGACTATATAGAGTCTAGAGATGTCTAGGGTGAGTCTCGCTGTCTACATGCCATTTCCTTCCGCACTACGTACTCTCCCCATGGGTTCCCATGCAACACAGCAACCAAGCATACCAACTAAACCATACTAAACCATCATTCGGAGTTGAATACAGATAGATCATCTCTCATCATACCCTCTGAGGTCTGAGGATTCATCGTGTTTGTTGGATTCTTGCTGTCTTGAACCCAATGCTGTGCAAACATTGAACTGGAGATCCATGTGCTCTGCTGTAGACATGTCGCGGTGTTGTCGTAGTACATTGAATCGTTCCTTTTGCACACTGGCATTCTTGTGGAAATGGCATGAAATGGCAAAGTTCTGATAAACATGCTGTTCTTGAGCAACAGAACAGCACGCCATCCCGCCCGTCCGGTAGCTAGCTCCGCCCAGTTTCACGCCACTTGGGACGTTTTGAGTGCAGCCTACACATGCTACATCTTCTCCTGGTCACTGCTGCGTCACCGCAAAATTCCTCCATTCCTCCTGGGTCTCCAGACCGTCGCTTGTCTTTCCTGCTCCGCCTCGCCCAATCCACGGAGACCCAAACCCCACCCGTCCCGTTGGGTGGGGCCGCGAGCACCGTCCGATCGCGTTCGGCGTCCGAAGGCCCTCGCGTTTCGTGGGCGAGGACGACGAGGACGACGGGGAACCAAGACGCCCCAACCGGCGGTTTCGTCCCGCGGTCGGCCACAAGGAAGGTCGGGTGGGGGGGTTTCGTCCGTGGGGGTTGAGCGGTGCTTTTCCAGGGCCAAAACGAGGTGGAGCGATGGCAGCGAACGTCCAAAACGCGAACGCCCAGAAGTGGTGAGTGCACACGGGCTGCTAGGGTCACACTGCTGTAAACAAAAGCCTGGACATCCTGCAATAGACAAATGAGATATCCTCTACATTGGGCTTTGCATGAAGCTTTCCACACCATGATATTGGCAACTATACTGGCGGGCTAGATTGTGGCCAGCATGAACTGTGTACCACAAGGACATTGGATTCTTGGTATATGTATCCCGTGTCCCTGTAGGACCCAAGTCCCAAGCAACTGCAGAGTCCGATCAGCCCTCACAAAGAACCCTTGTAGAGGTGGCATGCAACAGAACCAATCTCTACTCTTTGGCAGTTCCGATTGTTGACTTTGAACGATACTCATGACTCATGAACATAGAACCGTAAGATGGTCCCTTTGTGAAGTGAACCTGCTCCCGTCTTCCCATTCCGCTCGAAAAGTGAGACCCCTTAACCCGCCGACTTGAGCCATTTCCACTCAGTGCTTTTGACTTGGGAGCTCAACAGGGCACCGGGCTCCGAGCTCCTTCCAACTCCACCGCGCGCTTCGCGCCTTCTCCACGATGAACTTTTGCCTCTCCGCATCCTGCTGCGCCACCTGAGCACGCCGCCACGCCGGCGTGGCCACTCCGGCTGACGCGTGGAAGGCGGTTTGTCCACAGAGAGAGGTTGGCGTCAAAGCGGAAGGTGGGGTGCCCCTACAGCAGGGAACTCGATCATGAAGAAGCCCTGAAGCCCGAACGGATCGAGTTCCATGAGCTCGTGGCCGACGAATGTGTCGTCTACGACCCACGAACTATCTCAAAAGGCTGACAGAAAGGCAGAGACCAGCTTAGATCCTTAGATCCTAAAACAACGAGTAGGCTTTCTCTCTTGCTTGTGTGGTATGCTGTATGATGGCTCAAGATGTCTTCCATCAGCTGAGCTCGCTTGCGAAACGTCCCTTCCCAGTGCGTCGCCACGAGTCAAGAGGAAGTGTACACGTCCCATGGCGAAGTGCCCGGTGTGTGCCTCGCCTGCTTCTCTTCGATGGCCCTAGCGAAGTCCTGGACCAACGGCGGTCAGATGCCGAGACGCCGTGAGTGAATGGATTCATATATCGATCGATGTCCGAGGTTTGTTCCACGTTGAAGACCGTGATGGTTCGAACACATGGAGACAAGAGGGAAAGCGAGTCGAAGTTCCGATGAACCTGTAACTTGGAGGTTGGAATTCACAGAAAAGCTCCACATCTGGTGTGCCCCAGTGGAATATATAAATGCATTCTAGAATTCTAGCATGTCTCAAACATCTCGCACGTGAGAATTGCATTCGTCAAAACTGCCACACAAAACGCTCCTTGCCGTAAGTGAGGTGGGTGATGGCAATATCATCCTGGCAGAAACGTGCCGAAGCAATCTCCAGCCTTTTGAACCATGCGGACATGGCAAATCACTACGGACTGGGATGGTGTCACTGACCTGGTGACACTGCAAAATCAATTTCAGCAACAGCCCTATAGTGGTGTATTTGATAGATTACTATAGTTCAAGATCGGCTGTCAACTTGCGATC